TCCAGAGGCAGCATCGACCGGCTTCAGTTAGTAGCAGTTGCGAAGGAATCGCTCGATCGGTTCAGTTAACAGCCATCGATCGACCGCTCGGATTCAGTAACACGTAGCCTGCAGTGCAATCGCTCAGTATAGGCGAACGCCTCGCTCGGGTTCAGTTACAGCCCAACGCCTCACACCCACGCGCATACGTGTACGAGAGAAACGTGCATCGCTCGGCCCCGACTACCCACCGTAACCGGGAACACCCCAATATTTTCCTCGCCCTCGCTTCTACCACGGTTTTTTCCATCATGGGCGGCCCAAAGAATGTCATGCAGTTGCGTCTCTAGCCTGCCCAGGACGAAAAGCTAATTTTCTGTCATGAATTTTTGTCATAGAAGTAGGAGCCCACCACATCTATGATGATACCGGATTTTGTCACAATTATCGTCATAGAAGTGTCATAAGTATGACAGAAAAAATTCGTTCGGCCCAAAATGTCACGGATGTGTCTTTTTTTTGTAGTGCAAGGACCGGCTGTAGTCAAACTTGATTCAACTAAAGTTGGAGAAACAGACACCTGCTAGCCACCTTTGTGCAAAAGCACGTCGGTAGAACCAGTCTCATGAACGCGGTCATGTAATGTCGGTCTGGGCCGCTTCATCCAACAATACCGCTGAATAAAAGTAAGATGTTGGTGGTAAGCAGTATGACTATTATCGCCCACAACTCTTTGTGTTCTACTCGTGCATATAACATCTACGCATGGACCTGGCTCAGATGCCACCGTTGGGGAACGCAGTAATTTCAAAAAAAAATCCTACGATCGCGCAAGATCTATCTAGGTGATGCATAGCAATGAGAGGGGAGAGTGTGTCCATGTACCCTCGTAGACCAAAAGCGGAAGCGTTAGTTAATGCGGTTGTTGTAGTCGAACGACTTCGTGATCCAACCGATCCAAGTACCGAACGTACGGCACCTCCGCATTCAGCTCAATGACGTCCCTTGTACTCTTGATCCAGTTGAGGCCGAGGGAGAGTTTCGTCAGCACGACGACGTGGCGACGGTGATGATGAAGTTACTGGCATAGGGCTTCGCCTAAGCACTATGACGATATGACCGAGGTGTGTAACTGTGGAGGGGGCACCGCACACGGCTAAAAGATTAACTTGTGTGTCTATGGCATGCCCCTTGGCCACGTATATAAAGGAGGGGGGAGGAGGCCGACCAAGAGGGGAGGCGTGCCATGGGGGCGAGTCCTACTAGGACTCCAAACCTAGTACCCCCCCTTTCCTATTCCAAGTTGGAGAAGGGGGGGAGGAGGATGAGGAGAGAAGGAAGGAGGGGGGCGCCGCCCCCTCCCCTTGTCCAATTCGGATTGGGGCAAGGGGGGCACGCGCCACCTCCTAGCCAGCCCTCTCTCTTCTCCATTAAGGCCCATGAGGCCCAATAACTTCCCGGAGGGGTTTCCGGTAACCCCCGGTACTCTGGTTTTATCCGAAACTTCTTCGGAACACTTCCGGTGTCCGAATATAGCCTTCCAATATATCAATCTTTATGTCTCGACCATTTCGAGACTCCTCATCATGTCCATGATCTCATCCAGGACTCAGAACAAACTTCGGTCACCAAAACACATAACTCATAATACAAATCGTCATCGAATGTTTAGCGTGCGGACCCTGCGGGTTTGAGAACTATGTAGACATGACCGAGACACATCTCCGGTCAATAACCAATAGCGAAACCTGGATGCTTATATTGGTTCCTACATATTCTATGAAGATCTTTATCAGTCAAACCGCATAACAACATACGTTGTTCCCTTTGTCATCGGTATGTTACTTGCCCGAGATTCGATCGTCGGTATCATCATACCTAGTTCAATCTCATTACCGGCAAGTCTATTTACTCGTTCCGTAATACTTCATCCCACAACTAACTCATTAGTCACAATGCTTCCAAGGCTTATAGTGATGAGTATTACCGAGAGGGCACAGAGATACCTCTCCGAAACACGGAGTGACAAATCCTAATCTCGATCTATGCCAATCCAAAAAACACCTTAGGAGACACCTATAGAGCACCTTTAATCACGCATTTACGTTGTGACGTTTGGTAACACTCAAAGTGTTCCTACGATATTCGGGAGTTGCATAATCTCATAGCCTGAGGAACATGTATAAGTCATGAAGAAAGTAGTAGCAATGAAACTGTAACGATCATAATGCTAAGCTAACGGATGGGTCATTTCCATCACATCATTCTCCTAATGATGTGATCTCGTTCATCAAATGACAAAACATGTCTATGGTTAGGGAACTTAACCATCTTTAATTAACGAGCTAGTCTGGTAGAGGCATACTAGGGACAATATGTTTTGTCTATGTATTCACACATGTACTAAGTTTCCGGTTAATACAATTCTAGAATGAATAATAAACATTTATCATGAAATAAGGAAATAAATAATAAATTTATTATTGCCTCTAGGACATATTTCCTTCAGTATTACCGAGGTTTAAGGCAAGGGGACACAACCTCTCCATAGTTGTTCCTACTGTGTGGTGAAGGATTATCATGGATGCTAAAAAACTATGATGGTGGCTGGATTGATAGAGGAATTCGGGTCAGTATAAGAGCTCCATGGATATCCCACTTGTTGTTTGCTGACGAGTGTATGATTTTCACGAAATCAGATCACAGGAGCGGTATGAGATTAAACTCCATTTTTTAAGACTACTCTAGTGGTTCTGGTCAGAGTGCCAATTTGGCAAAAAGTTTGGTCTTTTTTAGTCCGAACTGTGGTGCTTCTAATAGAAGAGGAGTAAAGAATACACTAAACATTCAACGGGAAGCACTCACAGAGAAATATCTTGGCCTCCAACTGTCGTGGGCAGATTGACGGAGCAACATTTTGAGCATCTGAACGAGAGATCTAGAGGGAAGGTACAATGATGGTGTGAACGGTTGGCATCATGTGCTGCTAGAGAAGTCCTCTTGAAATTAGTGGTACAAGCGCTACCGACCTACTCTATGAGTTGTTTCAAACTCAAAAAAGGTCTGTGCAAGAAACTCATTAAGACTATGTCTAAATATTGGTAGGCTAGATCACTTGACAAAAGAGGAATGCATTGGCAAGCTTCGAAAAAAATGGCAATCCCTAAGTCCAAGGGTCGCATGGGATTTAGGGATATGGAAGTTTTCAATGATACAATGTTGGCCAAGCAGGCTTGGAGACTATTAGAATATCCTAATAGCTTGTGTGCGAGGGTATTGAAAGGGTGATACTATCCAGATGGTTTGTTCCTATCTGCAAACTGCCCCGCAAGTGCCTCTCGAACTTGGAAGGCAATTATATGTGGGTGTGAGATCCTGAAGGCGGGGCTTATTCGCTGTATTGGAGATGGAACAAAGACGGAGATATGGCATGACAATTGGATTGAGGGCACAAGATCCATGCGCCCAATAGGGAGGCTCACTCATAACCCGGTTCAGCTGGTTGGTGATTTGTTGGATCTGGACACTGGGAAGTGGGATGATGAGATGGTACGTCAAGTATTCCTGCCACCAGATGTTGAAGTTATATTGGCAATGTCGAGGCCTAGACGAGGTGGAGAGGATATTTGGGCGTGGGCGTGGGAGAAATCTGGTGCTTTCAGTGTAAGATTAGCCTACCGAGAGATAATGGACAGAAAACAAAACTTGCAGGCCAGGAAGGGTAGTTCTCGGGGGGCTGATCACACGTGGAAGGAGCTCTGGAAGCTAAAGTGCTGCCGAAGATCTAGGTCTTCTGGTAGCGGGTACCCTGCATGAAGGAACTGCAACGACAACATTTGAGCAAATACGCAGTCTGCCCAATGTGCGGAAATGGAGATGAAAGTCTCTTTCACTGCTTGTTAACATGTGATCACGCCAAGTTGTTTTGGGTGGAAGCAGAGACAGTATTTTGTATAGAGAAGCCCCGACTCCATCCAAACACTTGGGCCACTGATTTTCTTGAAGCTAGTTTGGTGCCAAAGAAGGATGCAACTATTGGCATTACGGTGATGTGGGCTGTGTGGAGCAGTCGGAACAGGTTCACTCACCATGAAGAAAGATACCAACCAAAGCGGTCCATGGAGATTATTTCAGAAATTGTGGGGACGTTGGAGCTTGCCCCTGCGACACATATACCTGTTGTCAATGGGCAGCAGCTATGGGAGGCGCCGATGGCCAGGGTTGTCAAGAAGAATGTCGATGGCACTGTTGACACGGCTAGTGCAAAAGGTGGCACTGACGTGGTTGCCTGAAACAGCGACGACGGACTATTAGTATCGCGGTGCACTGGGTACCAAGGGGTGGTTGATCCCCTACATTGGAAATGTTGGCATGCAGAGATGCTATCTTGCTCACCAGGGAGAAGAACTATCATCATGTGATAGTGGAGACAGATTGCCTCAATGTTGTTTAGCTATGGGAAGGTAGACTGAGAGGCAAATCGAAGGGGTTCCACATCTTTCAAGAGATGCAGGAGGAGCTGCCGTTTTTTCAGGGATTCGAGCTTCGTTATGCTAGCCGTCTAGTGAATTTTGTTGCCCATACCTGTGCTAAGGAAGCTTTAGCTATAGAGAATGTTGCTACATACTTTAATGTAATCCCTGATTTTTTGAGATGCATTGTGCACTCAGATATGCTACCGTTGAATGAATAAAATCCGGAGAGCGGAGTTATAAAAAAACTTCATTGACGTAATATACGGGTGCTGGACCCGCTGAGCTTTGCCCTGCTCAACAGCTATGACAACGCTAATGACCTGCGCGATGGAGGATATGTAGAGTAGCATGGACTTTGCTTCAGCTAGTGACGCCTGTATTGGATTGGACTGAAACAAATGCTTGAGGTCCGCGAAATCGGTTTTTGCCTTGTCTCTCGACTGGAACTTCCCTCCCTTCCCGAGGGGCCTGTATAGTGGCAAGCGGTGAATGTTTGGAAAGATTTGCTCGAGGTTGACTAGCAGGTTGGCCTCATCGCGTGTCTTCATGACCACGTCCTTAACGTCTGCCTCCACATTGATCCCTATATGATCATGGAGACATTTTTGCATTGTCCGTTGTTAGGTGTAACCCCCGCGTTCTTAAGTCTCGAAGGCATGATGATGCAGTAGAGCAACCCAAAGAGTGTAATAAATGAGGTTTTCTCCTGTTCTGATTCTAGAATAAGAGTCCAAGAAGCAGAGCCATTCTCAACCTGTGGTGAGTCGATCACCTGGTCGATGCGGGTAGTGCGAACAAGTCTTTTGGACAAGCTTTTTTGATGTCGGTGTAGTTGATGCACATTTGCTAGGACATGTTCTTTTTCCCGACTATAACCGGATTAGCCGTCCACTCATGGTGGGCGACCAGCCTGATGAAGCCGGCAGCTAGGAGCCGGGGGCTTTCCTCTCTGATTGTATGATAATGCTCGGCGGCGAACCGTTGGAGGGTCTGCTTGACCGACCTTCTATTTATATTACGTAACTAGAGAAACGTTGTCATTTTCATATGCTTTGCATGATCATTATAGCTAGAATTGTTTTTTCATGGATATGCCATTTGCTCATTATATAAATGCTACGTTAGATCATTGCACATTCTGATACAATGCTAGAAGCATAGAGTGGCGTTTTGGCTCCTAGGTGCATATGCACCCATTGTCGAAATCCAAATTCCTAGAAGTTGAAAAATTCGAAACAAAAATTCCGCGTGTATATCCGGACATTTTATGTGCGTTCACAAGGTTTCGGTGAAAAACGACGTTTTTTGTGGCTTGTGTAAAAAAGACAATTTCTGATGCTTCATTCTAACTATTCACGAGGCATTTCTTTATCTTTTTTACACAAGCCACAAAAAACGTCGTTTTTCACTGAAACCTTGTGAACGCACATAAAATGTCCGGATATATACGCGGGATTTTTGTTTCGAATTTTTTAACTTCTCGGAATTTGGATTTCGACAATGGGTGCATATGCACCTAGGAGCCAAAGGCAATTACCGTCAAAGGAGTTGTTTGTTTCAGAGATTTTTGCCCATCACCTGTTTATGCCGTAAAGTAAAACATGAACAGTGTTTGGTAACTATACACGTAAACACATCCCTTCGTAAATGGGTCCAGGGCAGTTAATGATCGATACCGTCCACCCACCCATCAGTAAAGGGTGTGGTACCGAGTACATTGCCCTCATCCTCCCCCCGAGCTCCCTCTCGGCCTCATCCTTGCCTGACCTAAGTTCGGCACCGCGCCTCCTCGACCCCCTTTGAGCCCCCTCGCAACAACCAGGCGTGTGAGATTGAAGAAGGCGACAACGCTTGTGATCGGGAAGGGCCGCCGACGCTTGAAATCCTGGGTGGCTGAGGCCAATCAAGAGCGAGCTATTTGCAGGGAGGATGGTGGCCGGCGAGCAGCGGGGCCGAGCAAGAGCAAAGTGATGATAAACAATTCCTTTATTTGAACATGAACCAAACAAACTTAGAAAAAACTCATTACGCCTCCTTAATTGTTGTGATATGATTACATTCACATTTCAGTTGCCAAAGACCTCCAAAGTTTTTTTAAACATGGTACAAACGTTTATGATTGCTCATCATACCCTTGTGAACATTTTCGAGGGTTTGAGCCGACTGATCTTGACATCGACAAAGTTGTCACAGACACATCATAGTGGACGAGCACGTGGTACATTGAAAGAATAGTGCCGGAAAGACTAAAATAAATTGAAGAATATGCAAATACTGGTGTAAGAGTCAAAAACATCTATCTATACCTACCAGTAAATGGAGGTGATATTATTGGTCCCTCGTACACAATTACAGACCCCCCCTCCCCTAACATTTTTTGTAGCATAAGTTAAATAACGCGAGGGTGAGGTTGCGACGGGTCCAACGAAAGTTGAGCTCGAGGTTATTGCAACAGTTGCTCCAATCCTCGATCAATCAGTTCTTTAGATGCCACGGGCCGGTAAAGAGTCCTATGATGTCGCCTATTCGGGTGAGAGGGTCAAGCTCGCGCCTTTATCTTCTCCGGTGCCCGTCTTTACTTTTATGTTTAACACATAGATCATTACCGCTCTTTCACTATTCCAACTAAATCTTCTGCAGAAACAGGGTACTGAATAATATGCATGGAGCCCCTCACCTAACGTAGGTAGATCCTTGACATGGCTACCTTGGCCATGCCTGACAGGCCGACATATTAGCGCGTGTGCCCCGACCCGTGTTGGGCTAGCCTGACACGTGGCCCGCCTAGGGTCGTGCATGAGTCGCAAGGCTAGGCACGTGCGCTGGCACAACACAACCCGTTTAGTTTTTTTCTTCATCATAGCACACAAACAACCAAACTAGGCCAAAAAACAACCTTAATAGGCCTAAAATCACGCAGACTAGTGGGCTAAACCTGCCGGCGGGCCGACCTATTTTTATTGTTGTGGCGTGTCTGGGCCTGGAGGTTGGGCACGTGGGGCGGCCCCACACATGGTTAATCGGGTCATGGCCGACACATGGCCCGCCTAGGGTGGTGTCTGGGCCGCAAGGCTGGGCACACGTGCCGGCACGACACAGCCCGTTTAGTTTTTTCTTTAGTTCTTTTATATATTAGCACAAAACAGCCTAAATAGGCCCAAAAAGTAGCCTAAGTAGGCGGGCTGGTGGGCTAAAAGTGCGACTGTTGTCGGCCCATTTCCTCGTTGTGCCGTGCCTGGGCCCAAACACTGGGCACCCGGGCCGGGCCGTGCCAGGTGAGTTAAGCCCTGGGCCGGGCCATGTGGCCACCAGATCCCCATCGCATCCTGAACCTCCTCTCCTCTGGTTTTCCTCATCATCACAACTCACAAGCTGCAATATCCAAAATTCCAAATCATTCTTCTCTCGGCGACGCGATTGGCAGAGGCGGCCATGGAGAAGGGGAAGGCCCCAGCGGAGGCAGCGGAGTCGGCGGCGGCGTGTGCGGCGCGGCTGGCGCGTGAGTGGAGCACTTGGGCGATGAAGAACGCGAAGGTGGTCGCGCACTACGGCTTCATCCCCCTCGTCATCCTCGTCGGCATGAGGTCCGAGCCCAAGCCCAGCCTCGCGCAGCTCCTCTCCCCCGTGTAGCTATTTTCCGCGGCCCGATCCGCACGGCTGTGCGCGTATTGAATTGATCAACATTTGTATTTCTCCCCAATAATTTCGATTACTCTTTGGATTGCTCTGATTTGGGGTCTCCTTGATTGCCACCGAGAACCTACCAGCTAGTTTATCTGTATGATTATTAAGCTAGGAGCTACAATTAGTTGCAAATACTGGTATCGTGAGAATGTATTAGAGTCTCAAGGACGAGTTCGTGTTTCACCCTTTGAGATGGGAGGTGTGAGGTGTCACCGTGGGAGCAAGCGCAGGTACGGTGTTTATAAGATTTCTGATGCATGATGTATTTGGGAGTAGAAATTAATGCTTGCATACATATACAATATGTGACGATTAAAATTAATTAAAGATAAGGTGCGATGAAAACATGACATCTTGTACAATAGATAGATTTGTCTTATCTTTTTTTCCGAGAGTACTTATTTTTATATTTGGAAGACATTATCTTGAACAAGGAAGGTACTCATATTAGCAATCATCATATATCACATTACTAAGAATCACCATTGTACATGCTTTCCCTCCGCTAATTACAGACAAATCACATAAAAAAGCTTACAGGTAAAATGGGGGAAATTATATACACATAACATGTTGGGGATGATGGAGTATTGTATGTGCTACAATTATGATTTGACACAGGGTTACAATGCTTTGGGGTATATACAATCATATATACCATTGCTGCGTATATTGTCCTCCATATCACCTAAAAATAGAACCGTATGTGTGACGATAGTCTCCTTTAGATCTAACAATTTGTGAGGGTAAGATTCAGATGATAAACATACCAGAATAATATACCATTGTCTGACGACTGTAAGTTGTAAATATAAATCTTATAGCCTTACAGGTGGTTTGTCTATAGAGTTGTAGACCACCTCTTATTCTGACATGGTGTCACAGTTTGACAGTTAAACACTCAATCTTCAGTACATTAGTTGTTTGTTCAGGTGCTAATATTGCACCGAACTTTGCATCTTGTCGCTGTGATATACTAGCTTGCAAGCACACTGTGCGGAATTCTTTCCCTCTCTTATGCAATCATCAAGATAACACATATGCCTTTGCATCAAGTAGTGATGCCTGAGATAATGCAGTTTTGGCCTTTACGAGACATACCCTGAGTTCTTCTCTTGGCTTCTCATATGGAGGTCATTGCTCGTATCTCAGAAAACTTTCTCCAGCGAGTACTGATGCCTATTCAGGGGAGCTGGGTAGAACAGTTTAATTTTCTGTCTCTATATTGCCTTTAGCCTTTGTTGAACTATGTTGAACCTTGTCATATATGGTTTCATTTCTACGAAATGGAACAGGGGCGAGGCCCCTGTTGATAAAAAATACGGAGGTCATTATGGTCCCACATGCTAGAATTTGTGGTGGTATGATCGTCCTTCTACTGATTGCAATTTATTATCTCTGAAATGTTCTTCAAACAGCCATTCTATCTCAGGAATTAGATATGTATGTACCACCACAAAATTCCCAGTTTTGAGATCTACCAATATTCGCTCTTATCTTATCTATCAATGAAATGATACGCAACATTTGTGTATTCATGAAGAAAAAAAGATCTATCGATATTCCACTGTGGAGTGGTTGAAAATTGGACGAAAGAATTCTCTTTGTTTCTCATACGGATTTTTTTGATAAAATACCACTTTTTATTGGCACTTATCATATAACACCTTGTACATTGTAACTGCTAAAATAACACTTATTAAGTCTACCACTTTGCTGAAATACCATGAAATGTTCTTAGGCCGTGTTCGGAATCCATCTCATCCGCTCTGACTCCGTGCATTTGTGGAGCTCAGTTTAGCCCGCTCCGTAAAAGTGAGCTAGAGGCTCGTCCGCTCCGGAGCGGAGTGGAGGGAGCGGAGAGGAGCCGAATGCGGCCTTAGTTTCACATTTTAGCAGCTTTATTAAGAGTGATGACCAAACTAATCATGAAATGACCATATTACCATTGCGACATTCATCAAAGGTACGCATCGAAGTGTTGCCCTGACCACACCGGCGATAAAATAGCTCGCCCCGTGTTCCCCCACTCCCCACTCTCCGTAATGGGTGCCGTGAAGGTGAGCTCGGCGACAGCATGTTCTGCTGCTTGACGGCGACAAGGCTGACTGCTCTGCAGCGATGTAGAGGGGGAGCTCAGCCGCGTCGTGGAGAGCGAGCCCGATGGTGGCAAGACGGGCTGTTCTATGGCGATGCAGTAGGTATGGCGGCATGGAGGGTGAGCTCGCCACTCGCCAGCAGCGCGGGCGACTGCTCTCATTATCCATGGACTCCGGTGGGTACTCTCGCGTGCGCGTCGTGGCAACAACAGGTGTTTGAAATATATTGCCCTCTTTTTTGCACCAGTTTGGACTTTTGGATGAATTAGCCGGAACATGGATTCAATATAGTATCTGAGCAAAAAGGTTTTGAGTTTAAAATCTTGCCACGCAATATTCAGAAAAGGATTATGTGATCTACATTGATCTCACCTTTAACAAAGACTAAATAAGACTAAACTTGAGGGAGTCCAAAGAAGTGTTTTTTCAGAAGACAGGTAGGTCTAGCATACACAACTTAAGTTGAGATGCGTTCTTACCATGCATGTTTTAAATGTGGTGACATGAGCGGTTGGCCTGCATGAAACACACATCTTATTATCATCCAGCTAGTGGTTTGTTGGAATTATTAGGCTTTAGCCCATTTATTTTATCCATTAATTCGTAGGAAATCTCAGAGGCCCATGTAACCCATGCATGCATGACATGAGAGTGTGAAAAGTTTAGTCTTACCATCCTAGTGCTGGATGTATGAGACCAACTTATAAGGTAAGTTGTTCTACATAGCACTAATAGCTTGAGAAGAGATCACAAACACATGCGCTCCTCCTGCGTGACCCCCCACGTCTCGCACGAGCCGCGGCGCGCCACACTAGGACCTAAGCAATGTGTTGCGTGTTGCCTTAGATGAGACACACTTCATTTCCCACCTTCTGGTTCAAACCTTGTGTCGCCTACCTTTTTCGCATCTCGCTTCTTCATGTGCGTCGACGAGTGAAACACCATGCCTCCGAAACCCCGCCTCTTATGATCCGGTATCGGAGAGGGACGATTAGGTTTTTTTGGAGCGCGACTGCTGAATTTTCGTCCACCGTGGCTGAGCACGACGGCTTCTTCCCCAACGTTGACCACCTTCTCGGCAGCGTGACAAACGACATATTTGCATCTTCTTCCACTACACCGTATGTCTCCTATTCCCTTTTTTCCAGGGATTGCATCCTATCTAATACATTGATCTATCGATATAAATATGTTGTTTGTATGTTATATACCAATTGCATGACTGCTTACATCATTTTGTTACTTGATGTGATTATCATCGATACTATGATTATCATGTTTTATCTACCCCCTCTGTTCCTAAATATAAATTATTTTAGACATTCCAATGCGGACTACATACAAAGTAAAATAAGTGAATCTACATTCTAAAATATGTCTATATACATCCGTATGTAGTTCGTATTGGAATCTCTAAAAAGACTTATATTTAAGGACGGAGGGAATAATGTTTTTCTAGATTGAACTTGATGAAAATTTTCTAATTATTCAATAATTTAATGGCTGAAATCTAGACATGTAAGGGCATCCCCATGCCCCAGATCTATTGTCCCAAGAGCCAAGTAGGTTCGGATGCCACCATGGACTAAAATTAAATGCCTCAAATATGTCAGTGTAGCTTGCGGAGGAGCCAGTCGCTTGAGTGGAAAAGGCAAGAAAAGAGAGAAAAGAGATGTGGTCTAGAAGCATAGGCAACATAGCTCACCAATCCATCGTGCCTCACTTCATGAGGGAGGCTACTTGTGCGTCGGATGAAAGTGAAATTAAACGATGCTTCAACTCTATGTGTTGATGCCACCTACCAGCAGTGGCGTAGTCAGGCCCCAGGCTACCTAGGTCGTGGGCTGGAAAACCTTCGGTGAATGTAGCTACAGCCCTATACTGTAGCTACAGTAAACACTGTAGCAACAAATATGGCCCTGGACGTGCAGATATTCTAGCTACGCCACTGCCTATCCGAACCTATTTGTTTGCTCTCTGGAAACCGCTCCAGAGAGGCGATCGGAGGCGACCTTCTGCCTTCCCTCTCGACAGCAGCGCCGCCATGGGTACTTGTCCTCTTTGTCCGCCGCTGAAGCGGATGGGCACCCTGGCAGTTTCTCTTTAGTGGGAGGTACAACAACAAGCCTTTAGTCCCAAACAAGATGGGGTAGGCTAGAGGTGAAAGCCATAAGATCTCGCAACAAATTCATGGCTCTAGCACATGGACAACAAGCCTTCACGCACCCCTGTCCATAGCTAGCTATTTGGTGATACTCTAATCCTTCAGGTCTCTGTTAACGGACTCCTCCCTGTTGGAAATATGCCCTAGAGGCAATAATAAAAGCATTATTATTATATTTCCTTGTTCATGATAATTGTCTTTATTCATGCTATAATTTTGTTATCCGGAAATCGTAATACATGTGTGAATAATAGACACCAACATGTCCCTAGTAAGCCTCTAGTTGACTGGCTCGTCGATCAACAGATAGTCATGGTTTCCTGACTATGGACATTGGATGTCATTGATAACGAGATCACATCATTAGGAGAATGATGTGATGGACAAGACGCAATCCTAAACATAGCACAAGATCGTATAGTTCGTTTGCTAGAGTTTTCCAATGTCAAGTATCCTTTCCTTAGACCATGAGATCGTGTAACTCCCGGATACCGTAGGAGTGCTTTGGGTATACCAAACGTCACAACGTAACTGGGTGACTATAAAGGTATATTATGGGTATCTCCGAAAGTGTCTGTTGGGTTGACACGGATCAAGACTGGAATTTGTTACTCCGTATGACGGAGAGGTATCACTGGGCCCACTCGGTAATGCATCATCATAATGAGCTCAAAGTGACCAAG